ACATGACTGTCTATGTAGAAAATCCCAAAGAACTGACAAAAAATAATTCATGGAATTAACAAGTGAGTGCAAGGGTGCAGAATACAAAATTAATATTAAAAAGTCAATTGTGGGGCTGGCGAGAGATGTAGTGGTTGGGTTCATGAGCTCCGCTTTGGTGGCCCAGGCTTCACAGGTTCAGATCCTGGGCACAGACCTACACATAGCTCATCAAGCCATGCTGTGGCAGCATCCCACATACAAAATAGAGGAAGATGGGCACAGATGTTAGTTCAGGGACAATCTTCCTCAAGCAAAAAGAGGAAGATTGGCAACAGATGTTAGCTCAGGGCCAACCTTCCTTACCAAAAAAAAAAAGTCAATTGCTTTCCTATATACCAGCAATGAACAACCAGAATTTAACATTTAAAACACACTACCATTTACAATAGCATCCAAAACCTGAAATACTTAGGTATAAATCTAACAAAACAAGATCCATATGCAGAGAACTATTAAACTCTGATGAAAGAAATCAAGAAGATTTAAATAAATGGAAAGATATTCCATGTTCATGGATTGGAAGATTCAATACTGTTAAGACGTCAATTCTTCCCAACTTAATCTACAGATGCAATACAATCCCAATCAAACCTCAGCAAGCTATTTTGTGGATACCAACAAACTGATTCTAAATTTTATGTGTCTAGGGGCTGGCCCAGTGGCACAGTGGTTAAGTTTGTGTGCTCTGCTTTGGCAGCCTGGGGTTTGCAGGTTCAGATCCTAGAAACGGACCTACACACTGCTTATCAAGCCATGCTGTGGTGGAATCCCACACACAAAATAGAGGAAGACTGGCCCAGATGTTAGCTCAGGGCCAATCTTCCTCACACACACACACATGAAAGTTTACGACGAAATGCAAAAGACTCGGAATAGCCAATACAATATGAAAGAAGACTGAAGCTGCAGGACCGCCACTAGTCAATTTCAAGAGTTAATATAAAGCCAAGATGATAAAGACAGCATGGTATTGGTGAAAGAACAGACACACAGATCAATATAACAGAACAGAGAGATCAGAAATAGACCCACATAAATACAGCCAACTGACCTTTGACAAAAGAGTAAAGGCAATTTAACGGAGAAAGGATAGTTTGTTCAACAAATAGGCTGGAACAATTGGATGTCAACATGCAAAAAAAATGAACTAGACACAGACTTTATACCTATCATAAAAATCAACTCAAAATGGATCATAGTCCTAAGTATAAAACACAATACTGTAAAACTTCTACAAGAAAATATAGGAGAAAATCTATGTGACCTGGGATTTGGCAATGAGTTTTTATATACAACATCAAAAGCATGATGCATGAAAAAAAAAAAAATTGACAAGCCTGTCTTCATAAAAATCAAAAACATATGCTCTGTGAAAGGTTCTGTTCCAAGAATGAAAAGACAAGCCACAGACTGGGAGAAGATATTTGCAAAACATGTAACTGATAAAGGACTTATATCTAAAATATACAAACAATACTTAAAACTCAACCATAAGAGGGGCTGCCTCAGTGGCATAGTAGTTAAGTTCACGTGCTCTGCTTCACCGGCCCCGGGTTCACCAGTTTGCATCCTGGGCACAGACCTATGCACTGCTCATCAAGCCATGCTGTGGTGGCATCCCACACAGAGGAACAAGAATGACTTACAACTAGGATATGCAACTATGTACTGGGGCTTTGGGGAGAAAAAAGAGGAAGACTGGCAAGAGATGTTAGCTCAGGGCTAATCTTCCTCACCAAAAAAGAATTATGCAGAAGATCTGAATAGACACCTCATCAAAAAGATATACAGATGTCAAATTACATATAACAAGATACTCAACATCATTTGACATCAGGGAATTTCAAGTTAAAACAAATTAACATATTAAAACAAGAACAGATACAACTATATACCCATTAAAATGGCTAGAATTTTTTAAAGTGACACTACTAAATACCAGCAAGGGTGCAGAGCAACAGGAACTCTCACTCACTGACGGCAGGAATGCAAAATGGTGGAGCCACTTTGGAAGCAGTTCTGTAGTTTCTTACAAAGCTGAATATAGTCTTACAATACAATCATACTCCTAGGTATTTACCCAATAGATCTGAAAACTTATGTCCATACAAACCCTGCACATGAACGTTTACAGCAGCTTTACTCATGATCAACAAAAACTAGAAGCAACCAAAATGTCCTTCAATAAGTGAATGGATTAAAAAACTGGTACAATTATACAACGGAATATTATTCAGCAATAAAAGGAAATGAGTTATCAAGCCACAAAAAGACATGGAGGAACTTTAACGCATATTGCTAAGGGAAGGAACCCAGTCTAAAAAGATTACATACTGTATGATTCCAATTATATGATATTCTGGAAAAGACAAAACTACAGAAGACAGTAAAATGATCAGTGCTTGCCAGGAGTTTGGGAGGAGGGGGGGATGGATGAAGAGGTGAAGACGGGGGATTTTCAGGGAAGTAAAACTATTCTGTATAATAGAATAGATACATATTATGAATACATAATGCATACATTATAGGTAGACACATGACACTATCCATTTGTCAAAACCCATAGAACTCTATAGCAAAGAGTGAAACAATATATGCAATTTTTTAAAATACTCATTTCAGAGGTAGGGGATCCCAGAAAAGAATGCATACTCTGACAAGAGAATCTAACTGTATTGCAAATACAATTCATTTGTAGAAACAATGAAGAAACAATTTCATTAAAGGGGATGGGAGAAAATGGTGCTAACCTGAGTAACTCTGGAAATGAGTGCAGCCTGTAAGACTAAAGGGAAAAGAACTGCACATAAGCACTGCACCCTAGTTGATAAAGTTCCTTCCCATGGGGTATGGTCTAACAATTCAGACACTGCTATACAGGTATGCTGAAATTGAACTATTAAGCAACTGGATGGCAGATGGTGGGAATCAGGTTTCCCACTGTTGGAATGAAAATTTACAAATAAGCAAGGGGAGGAGGCTAGAATGATCCATGTGGAACTTAGAATTGGAGACAGTATGAACTCATGTTTAACTTTAATATAGACAGATGGCTACATATAGAAATATTTGTAGATGTGTGTGTATTCAAGGGTTACTATTCACACACATATTTCTTTGTTCTGTCGGCTGAGAGGGCCTAAAAGAAAGAAAAGACACTCCTGGCAATAGCACACCTAGGAGTGGGGAATTTTGTTCCCTCAACTTGAGGGCAGGGTATTTACATAAATGGAGCAGCGGCCACAGAGAGCAGCAGGGCTGGAGACACGATGGGCAGGGAAATATCATAGACAGCACTGCAATAGGAGCAAATGTTGGAGGCTGAGAAAGAGGGGTCAGGAATGGCCCCTGCCTATCAGCAATGGTGCTGATACTCTGAAAACAGAAGGAAAAAAACACCAGAAGCAGGCCCACTGGCCTGAAGCTGAAATGCAACCCCACTGGGGTAGAAACTGAAGCATCTCTAAGCAGACTTTTCTAAGCTGACATTTGGAACCTTTACTTCTCCCATCCCTGTGTGTTCTGAAGGCACCAGGACCCAGAGGATTTGACCCATGGTGCAGGCTCCATGAAGCGCCCTGCAGGAAAGCCTGCTGCCATGGCCTGGTGGAGGGCATAGGTGTGTTGAGAATGAGCCAGTGTGCTAAGGGAGGTGAAGAGCACTGTGAGCTTTAGATGTAGGTAACTGCATGTGGTCACTGGACCCATTGCTGAACAGGGCACAGAAGCTGGCCTTTCACAGGCTAGAAAAAGGACCTTCTGGACGGGTCTGGGTACACCGCCTCAGCGGCTCCTCTGGTTCTAGGGGTGATCCCCTGAGCCTAGGGACATATACCAAGCCTAGTCTAGGAAATGGGAAGGCGGGATGCATAAGACCAAGTGGGTCCCGGCATGGACACTGGTATGTCAGGAAGCACAGAGCAAGCAGATGTACAAAGTTCCAGATCAGGAGCCAGAGACTTGATTTCTGAACCCAACTCTGCCATTCCCTGCTTTGGGAGAGTCACTTAGCCTCTCTGAGCCTCAGTTTTCTCATCTTCATAAACAAGTCACCTGACTTCTTCACATGGTGATCAGGGAACCAAATGAGATACTGTATGTGCATGTAGTTAGCAAACAGACAAGTGCTACACCACTGGTTCTCAAAGCGTGGTCCGAGGACACCCGGGGCTCCCTGAGACCCTTTGAGAGGATGTGCGGTCTTCGCTTTTCCAACTAGTATCTGCATCTGTGTGAGCCCGGAACTCCTCTGTAAACTTCCTCCAAGACAGCTGATAAAACTCCAACTGTCCTTTACGAGACCAGAGAGATTTTCAAAAATATAAAACCATGGTACTCTTCTCACCTTTTTTTTTTTTTTTGGAAAATATAATTTTTCATTAAATATGTCATTTAGATTAAAATTTAATGGGTTTGTTATTTTTAAATGAATATCTTTTGCATTTAATTCTTCATACCGTAGAAACGAATAGATACAAGCAAAAGCTCTTCAGGGTCCTCAATAACTGTGCAGCGTGTTAAGGGGTCCTGAGACCAAACCGTTTGGGAACCGCTGTGCTGACCACGCGAACGGAAGGGGCTCTCATTCATCGGGCAAGCCGCCTCCCAGAGGCCGACTCCAGGACCCCTTCTAGAACACATCTGCAGCTTCACGGTTGTCACTTTGCGAGGGAGGCTAGTTTAGTTTTCTGGCGCTGACACATGGAACGCTTGTACCCATTTTCCGGGCCCATGCAAGGGCCCTCCCACAGGGAGGCACCGGGGGTGGGGGCGACCCTCGCCGGACGTCGGCGACCTTGGCAGAGGTCAAGCCGTCGCGCGGAGGGTGCACGACACTCCAGGCCGGCCAGGGCTCCTGCCAAGGATGCGGGAGGCCGCGGCCGGCCCGCGGACCTGACCCGGGTGCCCACCCTCAGCGAGCCCGGCCGGGCGGCGAGGGACTGGGGACCTGCACTCACAGCCTCGGCAGCGCCGCCGCCGCCACTCCGCGCACCGCCCTCCGCAGCAGACGCAGCGCCATCTTTCTGCTGTGGGCGGCCCCGCCCCGTCAGCCCCGTCCTCCCACCTTGCCACGCCCCTAAGCCACGCCCCCTACGTCTCTTCGCCACGCCCCCGCGATTTGGCCTCACCCCTGTTTCGCCCCGCCCCACCCCGTCCCCGCAAGTCACGCCCTCCCTGCTCGTGCACTTGTCCACGTCGGATGGTCCGAACTTTGTTCCTGTTGTCATATGGGGCAGAGCAGAGGGTCCAAATGGATGGCTCCTTTTTGAGCGGTTTTCTGCTGACCGTATCCAGCTCTCCCCCTGCTTCTGGGTTTTGTAAGGCGACTGTGGAGAGCTCTTGCGTTTTCCCAGCCAGAACAGGCCACGTTTTCGAGGGATTTCTTTGTTGATTTTGTTAAAATACTGCCTAACAAAGTTTGTGAGCGTCACTGTGTGCGTGCCTTGGTTAACAGTTAGTCCATTGTGGGACATATATGCCTGTGGGACATATATGCCTGTAATAGGTTCAGAACAGCCACTGGCAGCTTTCTGAGCCAGAGAAATGCTTGCTGAAGGCACGGGCAGCACACCCAACTCCACTCCAACTCCTGCTAGTCTTTCAGCAAATACAGCTCCTCCGGCTTCACAGTCGGAAGAATGCTAAGATATTAAAGCAGAGTTTACTAGCTGTGTGACTTTGGGCAAATTACTTAAGCTCTCCCTGCTTCAATTTCCTCCTCTGCAAGATGGGAATATAAATAGGAGTTACCTCGCAGGGTTATTATAAGGATAAATTCAGTTAATAGATATAAAGAGCTTAAAACCTTGCCTGGCCCAGATCAAGTGCTCAGTAGTGTTGATAACTTATTATTATTATCATCACATCAATTCCCTTCTTAAAACTCTTTGATGGTTCCCAATGGGAAGCATGGAGAATAAAACCCAAAATCTTCACTGTAACCCCAAAGGCTTTACTGGATCTGGCCTCTGCCTGTCTCTCCAGTCTTATCTCATTCCCACCCACCTTCTTTTCAAGTGCTTTTAAGTTTACTAAGCCTCTCCCACTTTAGGACCTTGGAACATGCTGTTTCTTGTCCCTAGAAGGCTCATGGCTACACCTTCTCATCCTTCAGGACATTTACGCTACCTGCCACCTGCTCAAAGGGGCCCACGCTGACAACCCAAACTAGAGCATCCCCGGATCTATTTCACTGGCACAGCACCCTGATGGTTTCTCTCACAGCCCTCATCACAATGTTTATTTATGGATTTGTAAATTTACTTTCTTTTTGTTACCTTTCCTCCAGTAGCTCTCAAGGTAGGAGAGAACTCCTCTCCCACCCATCGATCAGATGGGCTTTTTGGATGCGTTATTGTCACTTAGGGGGCAGGACTTGGGATGTGCAGGCAATCCCACTCAGAGAAAGGCTGCTAGTGCTCTGGTTTAAAAACACCATCTATAGAAATAGACTGTGAGCTCCTTGAGAGCAGGGAGCCAGTTTATCTTGTCATTGCTGTGTGCCCCCAGCACCTGGCTCAGTGACTTGTAACCAGTAAGTCTTTAATAATTATAAGATGAAACTATTCCACCAGCCTCATTATAATTCTGAGACTGCCATGTGAGATGTAATCCTTATTAAAAATGCCCTGGACCTTATGGCTTTTTGGGTAAAATGGGACCTCCAATGACTTATTTGCTAATTGATTCAATTTCTTTCATACTCTGGTTAAAGAAACTGTAGCTGTGCCAATTCTCACCAGGTTCTGTGAGCTCAGGTGGTTTGGTTGAGCTTCTTCATGAGATTACCAACTCGTAGGTTTTTAGAACTGTTTTCTAAGGTTGGTATATTTTAAAATAAAGCTGTATTAACTTTATCTACATGGCGAGTAGATTTCTGGAGGACATATTTCCAGATACAATAGAGAAAGGGATCTAGGGTTCCTCCTTTGAGGCTAGTCAAATCTGTCTGTACTCACAGCCTCCAAAACTGAAAGAAAAATAAAAGTACACGTTTGCCCCAACGGCATTAGAAAATATGAAATTCAGCAGGGTGAATCATTCTATGAGACCCATTATCCTGTTGAGCTGAGCAATCTGATGGGGTGAGAACCTGGCAGAGAGCTGAGAAAGAAAGATCAGGAGCCAGAAACATCCCACTTCTAGAGCACAGTGGGCTTGGGGGTGGCGATGGTGGGTGCTGGACTGATCCACTGACGCTGATCGCTGGTGGAGCTGGGTGGTGGGTACGTGGGGTAGGAGAGGGGGCTATTGTTCCTCAACTTTATGTATGTTGGAAAATATTCTTAATAAAAATTTAAAACAAAATCAGTGCGACTAAGGCTTTGCATAGAAAGATCCAGATGCAGATTTACTCAAAGCTAATGGAGGTTAAGCCTCAGGGCCACTGACTAGCACTGGCCCCTTTGAAGTCCCCAGCAATGTGTTCACAGGTCATTTGTTTTTGTAAACTGTACAAAAGTAAGATATTTTCTCTGTTTACTCTGACTTTCCCTTTCTCTCGGACATTTTTTTTTCTCTAAAGATTAGCCCTGAGCTAACATCTGTTGCTAATCTTCCTCTTTTTTTTTTCTTCTTTCCAAAGCCCCCCAGTACATAGTTGTATAGTCTAGTTGTGGGTCCTTCTAGTTGTGGCATGTGGGACGTCACCTCAGCATGGCCTGATGAGCGGTGCCAAGTCCGCACCCAGGATCCAACCTGGTGAAACCCTGGACCGCCAAAGCGGAGCGCACGAACTCAATCACTTAGCCACAGGGCTGGCCCCGCTCTCGGACTTTCTTTGTTTTGGATGGCATTGGAGTGGCTGCAGGCATTTTGGGAGACCAGCTGAGGAGAAGTTTGAGCTGGGATATGTTTGGTTTAGATTTAGTAGAGTGTGTTTATGTGATTTTCAGTCGCATCAGTTTAGGTATTATTAGCAGTCCTGCTTTAGGAACGGCTTCCAGGAAGAGTGCTATCCACTGTGCTGACTTACCTGCATAAAGGTGCAAGGTCAGAGGTCACATCCCAATAAGAATGTATCCGTAGGGCACCTGTCACCAGAAGTATGCGGGTAGTCGAAAAGAAACAAAGTTTAAAATGTATGGAATTAGTGATCACCTGCAGAAAATCCTTCTCGTCATCAGATATGTAAAACCGTAAGCAGAGAGTTTGGCTCTTATCTATGTCTAGTTAACGTGGAAGCTCTCTCCGGTCTGGAATACACTCTAATAGCATCGTGGTGGCTTTCCTAGTGTCGACCCAGCTTAGCTGGAATGACTTCTCCCAGAATTTCCCGGCCCGTGAGGTTCCAGGTTGGGATTGTTCCTGAGAGACAATTGCATGAGATCTGGAAGGTGGAAGTGAAACAGCAGGCTGGCGTGGGGCACCAGGCACTGTGGCCATGAGCACACGTGCCTGTTGCTCTGTGGGCTCACCCTGTTGACATGGGGCAGTCAGTGTTAACTTCCTCTTTTTCAAAATTATTTACAGATCTCATTACTTTACGTTCATATCCACCCATTTTTTCCAACTCAAACAAACTTAAACATTTATTGACGTGATTCCCGATCTCAAGAAGCTATCTAAATGAAATTCAGACACATGCTACAACACAGTTGAACCTTGAGGACATCATGCTAAGTGAAATAAGCCAGACACACAAAAGAATGCGTTTTCAAAGAGGAGTCAAATTCATAGAGACAGAAAGGAGAATGGGGGTGGCCAGGGGCTGGGGGGGGAGGGGGAAATGAGGAGTTAGTGATTAATAGGTAGAGAGTTTCAGTTTGGGACGATGAAAAAGGTCTGCAGATGGATGGTGGTGGTGGTCGCACAACAATGTGGATGTATTTAATGCTGCTGAACTGTACACTTAACAGGGCTAAAATGGCAAATTTTGTGTTATGTGTATTTTATGACAACAAGAAAAAAGATTTTAAAAAGAAGTTATCAGTCTCGTGAAAGAGGCAGACAGGTAAATGGAGAAATGGGTGGGTTCTGAGGTCTGCTGGTGACCTGGGGAAAGGGGATACGGAAGCAGAAAGGATGCAGCAGTTCCTTCTTCCTGAGGGAGGCAGGAAGCCAGGGGGCTTTGCAACGAGGGACACAGCTACCCATGAGGTGGGGAGTGAGTCTGAGTGCTAGGGGAAGAGTCAGCAAGCGAAGAGAATACAGTGGATCAGAGGTCCTGTCTGGGACCAGACGGTAAACCACCTGAATGCTTCAGTCTCAACCAGTGTCGCCCTGAAACAATACAAGTCTGCATGGAAATGTGTTACGTTGTTACTACTTGGTCCTGTAATTTTATGAAACTCAAGTAACTCTCACTGTTAATCTTACACATATTGGGCTTTGTATTGGCTCAACCACACTTTTGGCAAATAGTCACACCCAAGGAGATACTGAATAAAAATATCTCATCAACCAATGGTTTACTGTAACCATTTGAAGCTTAAGTAACTTAAATAATTTAAAGCTTAAGTAACTTAACCATTTAAAACAGGAACGATTAGGAAAATGAAGCTGCGTTATTCTTTTGTTATAAACACCAAAGGCTCTTTATCATAATCCATTTTTCCCTTCCGTTTGGTGTCTGGCCAATGTAGGTTATTTCCACCAAAGTTGAGTCTCAAAGGCTGAAGGGCCAGTGTCACTGATTTAAGACTTCAGAATGCTGCACTTAGAAAGAGGCACATTAGAAGCTCTGTGGAAGGATCTTTCAACAGTGGCAGGGATAGAACTACTCTCTGAGATTATCCATCCCTCCTGCTGCTCTGATACAAAACCCTCCCAGCCTCGCCTCCTGCCAGGAGCTGCCTTTGATAACATGATGACTGTGTCTGGCCTTCTTGGGGAGAAAGGATGTCTCTCAAATTTAGGCCAAATGCAGAATAACTAGCGACCACACTGTGGACCTTCTGAGCCTTAGCTTTCTCTTTATAAACTGAGGAAGCTAGACTAGCCGACCTCTAAAATTCCTTCTGGCTCCCAAACAGCGCGACTAAGATCCTGTTCTAATCTCCGCCACCAAAACTGTGCTGCAGCGCCCCCTGGTGTCCGCAGGCAGATGGTTCCCCAGCATCCCTCGCTGC